TTTTACAGCAGTAACTGAGGGAAATCGACATCTGTTTTAAAAGGTGTGTGAGCGTACGTAAGCTTAACCACTTAAGTCTTTGTTTTCAAAAAGATATTTTTTAAGGGCGGAAGTTGAAAAAAATTAAGTTGTACTATTTTTAAATCTAGTAGTATCTATGTATGCTAAAGGGGATGAACTAGCATCGCAGGAGTCTACCATAAATTGACCTATTCGAGTTGTTTCTTGCATTAAGTCTCCTTGCAAGAAATTCTAAAGACACTGAGTTTTAAGTGCTTCGAGATTACAAATGAGGAACACACACCTATGTATCTGGAAGGAACTGCGGCACATTTTCGACGGTTTAAGAAACAACAGTTATCGAGCAGCTTCATAATCGAAACCATGAAACGGCAGGAAAAGGAACGACAGAATCAAATCATATTTGCTAAAAATGGAACGACAATATACCTACAGTTGTCTGCCCTTGCGTATCTGGTTCCCAGGTTCAGTGTTACCGTATGCAGCCACTTTATACATGTGATAGCCATCGAAACGCAGGAGAAATAACAAGTCTAGTTTTATGGTTTTTTGTGAATTCGGAATTTCGTATAAGAGACAAACCGACAATAGATTCACTTATAAGAAAGAGGTTAATCGTTTGTGCTTCACAGCGGAGCAGTGTCAGTGTCCAAATGAACTTTGACAAGATCAAAGTTGCATTGGAGAAAACAGGTAAAGCATCCGACTGGAATAGAGAATAACGAACTAAACTACACATTGATTGAACACGTGGTGAAGAAGCATAAAAAGCGCGTGATGCAAATAAACTACCGGAAATGGATGATTAAAGAAGCCGGATAACGGAAAGAATTTGTCACTAATCTGAAATGAATCACTAACGATAAGAATTAGACTGAATTACATATCTGTCGCCGTAAATTACAGTACATATTAACATTTCATATTTCAACTACTGATACCAGATTTGCTCAGCAAAATCATACCATGCAAAGAAGGCTGATTTTTTCTTTACGTTACTGTAAAACCGATAGACGCCTTAACACCAAGTTGACCTAAACACTGCACAGGCCCCTTACTTCTAGTCGCCTGTGGGGAGGGCGCATTTATGCAGGCAGTGATTCGATGGTGTTTGAGCGCCAGTGTTTAGGATGCATCACCGTGCTCTGAGCTGGATTGAACAAGGACATGCTAAAGCCCAAATAATGTTGCCATTATCGTAGGCAAGTGCAGTCCAATGAAATAAAATATAACCCAGGTGTTCTGAGGTATCCTTCATAAGTGGGACCTTTCAATGTTTTGTTTAATATTAACATTTTTTGCATTCTATTTAAACCTGATAATAATTTCATAGTATGCAACGACATTGCTGATGTATTTAAATTTTATTGTTACATAATGAATGATGAATCTGGCTAGATTTGCAGCTTCAGGATTTAGTTAAACAAAATTTATATACATGGTAAGCCTTTTAAACACCACGGTGATGAACAGCTTTTCGTCTACATAAAAAACTCAAAGAAATATGTAAAAACGCTACTTCATTCTTATATTTAGTGCTTAATACTCTTTGTAGGTTTTCGCTTAAGGTTTTATGAAGATGAAAATTAAGTGCAGTTATTTTATAAAAGACATGTTTGACGATGCTGGTGTTACTGTTTAATTTATTATTCGACCGTTTTTAATATGAGTTGAGAATTTAGCGGAACACTTGTTGTTATTACTTATGGCTAGTTTTATGCATTATATCTTCAGTTTGATATTCACTGACGATGGATCTGTCCGTTAACAATGTTACTCCTGGTCGTTTATTGTTAATATATTTATGGATGTTTATGATAATTAATATTCACATATATCAAACAACTCCGGTATATGGATTTGCTAGCAAGCTGCTAGTTTTCACTACTGCCGGATAGAATAACATTATCTTGTCAATTTTCTGGATTTGCACGGCGTGGTGTTCCGTCGCCTTGCTTCTAGTAGCTTAAGAGACAGTTTAAGCGGGCTAAGGCTCTACGATATTTTAGCACCTGCTGTGCATGGGTCGAAACAACACCAGACCAATGAATATGCTCATCCCGTAGGCATTAATAACAAAAACAAACCCTGTTTTGCGCTAACGACCTGCGGATACTAAATTGCCATGGAGCTGTTGCCCTCTCAGACCGTTCCCTTCTCGCTACCAAGATAGTGCGCTGCGCTTTGTAAAAATTCAAAGAATTTACAGGAGAATAAATTTCTGATATTTCTCCATTTACTAGTTTACAAGAAATGATTTCTTTTATAGCAACTTTATCGGAAAAGTACTAGCACAATGAAATATGTGCATTTTTATCCCGGTAGCGATATAAACCGGAAACTGTAAACGAACACTAGTTAAGGAAGTAATTGACAAGTCATTGTAGCCATGGAATACAGAATTTCTTTCAGAACTTCACTTAATCCTATGAAATTGCAAAAACTACTTGATTATATTGAAAATAGCATAATGAATTGCGGAATAATGAACTTTAAATTAAACTGTAGTGTACTGATATTATTCATATTAGTCTTAACAGTATTTTATTTTTCTTTATTCTGAAAATTCCGTTAAACCTTACAAAAGTAATTGAATGCCAAATTCGACATTTACTTGATATTCGTAACCGTTTCATACAATTCTCAAAATTTCGCCTCTCGTGCTCAAAATGAATGATCGCTTAAAAACATGAGCGATACCTTTAAAAGGAGACGATATCGTGTGCCTGCTAAACCTGGCTCCAACGTAAAAAGTGCTCGAAGGATCATGCTCATATGACACAGAAAGGACTCGTTTTACAGTTGTCAGACGCTGCTTTTGGCAATTTTTTATTTCACTCTTTTTGTATGTCTTAGGCATCGTCGATTGGATTCGTCAACGGAAGGACCCAAACTACGTCCCACTTCCCGATTATGTGCTGGTTCTGACGCAAGACAACTTTACGGCATATGCGATGACGGAAGATCTTATTCTGGTCGAGTTTTATGCTCCATGGTAAAACGGTTATTTAATCTAAAGGCATCCTTTGATGTAATCCGTGGTTTCAGGTGTGGTCACTGCAAAAGGTTGGCTCCAGAGTATAAGAAAGCCGCTAGTCTTTTGAACGAACATCATCCTCCAATTCCTCTCGCGAAGGTAGATGCAACGGCTGAAAAAGACCTTGCGACAGAATACAACGTGACGGGGTTTCCAACACTGAAGATATTTCGCAATGGTCGTGTTTATGACTACACAGGTCCTCAGGATGCGCAAGGTATTTCGTGTACTGAAGCGTTCGTAATTTAAAGCGGCTATGTTTTTATTCAGGGATTTTTAA